GCACTCACGCTGCACTAAGCCAGGGACTTGGTGTGGGGAAGAGTGAAAATCAAAGTGTTTCTTGACCTGCATAGTGTGGTTGACAGTCTGTGTCTGTGAAGGGAGGAGAGCTTTCCCTTTCCATGAATAATAAGGGAAAACTGAGGCCAAGGAGAGTCATGAGAGTAATGCTTGTAATGAAGCATATGAATAAATACATGGATGTTGCTTGCAAGTTTTAATTCAGCAGGTTAAGCTTCTGGGAATCTTCACAGTGCTTATGATTGCTCCATATGTTTAATTGATTTTTCTTTTTTTTCTTTTTAATGAACTAATTAAAAGAGAATTCAGAAGACCTTCCATTATATAATATAGATAATTATTTTCCAGTGTATATTTAGATTTTTTTTACCAATTCCTTCTAACTCATTTTCATAGAAACATAGAATTGTTTGGGATGGAAGGGACCTTTAAAGGCCATCTGGTCCCATTCCCCTGCAATGAGCAGGGACACCCACATCAGTGCTCAGAGCCTGGTCCAGGCTTTTACTGAGTCCTAATTTCTGATACCACACACATCAAGATTAAATCATTTCAATAGACTAAAATATTCCAAATATTGGAAATACTCAATATTCAGGACTCAAATATCCAATAGACTGAAATAGTCCAGTATTCCATTATGATTAAATAGCAACACTCTGAAAAGGAATGCACTGCAATGTGAAATTCAGCTTGAGAAGAAAATACATTGGCAAAATGACACGTCACAAAACCTTTCCTTGTAATTTGTCCATTGGAACAATGAACCCCCTTACTTGTGGTTGAAATACATAACCCTATGTGTGATGTACGTCTAGAATTTCTCCCAGATATCTTCAGCCTATTAGCATTAGTTATCTTGTGTTTTCATGGGAAGTAATTGGAACTCAATCAAAGGTACTGTAGAAGCTGCCTGTACCACTACAGTCACAGGTGCTGTATTCCATGGGGCTTGGTTCACACACATCCAATAGGGAAATTTTGCCTGTTAAACACTTCTGTGTCTTCTACAAATATATTCATCATTATCACAAGTTTCCCCTTTGGGGTCATCGCTGTAATTTTGGCAGTGCCCTTGAATGATGTAGAGCTAACATAAAGATAGATGTGTTTTATTGTGGGTCAGGGAGCAAAAGCCTCACATGGGAGAGATGTTTTCATAGATGGTTGCTCACTCTGTGCAAGTGCTTTTGGGGGATGGTGAGGGCAAGGATGCACCTTGAACAGCGCTTGTGAAAACGGAGCCCTTGACTTGTTAGAGCTTGAAGAATGAACGTGAGCAAATGCAAAGAGAACTGCATGCTGAATGTGGTTCTCAATGGGATCCTGAGTCCAGACTTGCTGTCCTGTTGCTGTCTGGTGTATGATCTGAGACAAACCAGAACCAAGCACTGGGATACAGAGTGAGATGTGCTAAGGGGAGGGAAGGGAAAGGAAGCCTTTATGCAGGCCAGGAACACATCCACCTCCAGACGAGCCTGGTTAGCCATGCTGCCTGCCCTGCATCCTGCCTGGGAGGGCCCCAGCCCTGTGATGTGTGGGAGGGTGGGATTTGTCACCCTGACACCATGAGTGCTACACCATCAGCACTTGACAGGGTGACCACCGACGCTGGTGCTGGAGCCAGACCATTCTGGTGCTGGTGGAGCACAGCCATACTGAGTCAGAGACACAAACAGAGATCTGAGAGAGCTGGTAATCAAGTGCCAGAGGATTTCTAAGCAAGCTGCATGTTCAGCTCCAACTGTTTTTTGCCTTTCTGGAAAACCCCTGCCAGAATCCATCCCAAGCTCTGGCAAGTCAAAACAACATCGTGTTCAACTTGCAAAACTATTTTCTTCTTTCCTTAATTCCTACAAATGTGGTTTTACCCCTTTAGAAGAAGAAGGGGGCAATGGTGTCCCAGTGCCCTTCTGCTAACGAGTTTCTGTCTGCTTCCATTTTTGAGACACAGAAGCTCTCAGTTGCATGACACTGCCTGGGAGCACCAAGGGGAAGGCAGCAGGAAGTGTAGTTGGCACAGAGTGGCACAGAAGAGAGATGTACTCGAGGAAAAGGAAAGAGGAAACACTGGTCAACAGCTTGCACTTTTCTTCTCCCTCTGCATGGGAAGAAAATAGCACAGAAAAGGCCTGGCACCAACTTTATGTGGATTTTTTTGTTATTAAGAAAGGAATCGCCGCCTGATGTCAGAAGGAGAGAGAGGCAGAGCTGGAATGTACATAGGAATGTGGGTGAGAGCGAGCAGTCCCAGTGCTGTTCAGTGACTGATGTTGTTCCACACATTCTTTCAAAGGAGTGATTTAATTTGGAGGGGACGGGGACTGCCCCTACTGGGGAGTTACACAGAATTTTCCAGATGAGTCCAACAACTGCAGACTGCAACGGCTGAATCTGGCTTTAAATCATTCCTGAGTTTTGAAAGTATCTGCAGTTCTCCAGGACTCATTTCAGAGCTTCTCTCGTTCCAGCTAAAACTGAGTGATACCAGAAACCCTTTTGCAAGACTTCTGGTTCAGGAGTAAGGCATTCAGACTCCCTTGGGTGAAATCAAGGCTGTTGGCACTACTGATCCTTCCAGCTGAGGAGTTTCTCTCCCCAGCCATGGCTCCCAAAACCATTGCTTTTCCACCTTCCCAAAATAATTTCCTATTAGGAAGGCAGCATCTCTGCAGCAAAGAGAGGGGCACACCATGGTGTGTGCCCTTTTATGTTATCTTATGTCTATCTTTTACGAGCATCACTGAATTTCTTGTAGCAAGCAATGGAAATTCGAGCAACGGGGCTTCTTCACTGGTTGTAATGTGGAGCATAGCACTGGGGTTGGGGCTGACTCCTGGGTCCTCCTCCAGCACAGGGGACCTGGAATAAGGCTTTGCTACCATGGCCACCTGCCTCTGGGGATAGCCAGGCCACCTGGATGTTTTGTGTTCATCTCTTGGTCTTTCTGAGGTTTTGATCAGAAATTCCAGCCTGGTCTTAGCAACTTCTGCTGACAAGCATTTCTGTGAAACTGGTACTTTCCAGGAAAAAAAGAGAAAAAGTGTGGTCTTGGTGAAACATTCATGGTTTGCACTTTCTGGGATGTTGTTTATCTGTGTTGAAAGAGGAGAGGAGAGGAGAGGAGAGGAGAGGAGAGGAGAGGAGAGGAGAGGAGAGGAGAGGAGAGAAGAGGAATCAATTTAATCTTCTTTTTTGAAATATTGCCAGTTGCTTTTAACTCACCTCCTCTCTCTGGTAGCAACTGCTAATGCAGAATTGAGAAACAGATTGTTTTCTTCTCCCCTGGAGCTTGTTCTTCCAGAAACCAATGTGGATGATATAAGTTATGTGTTCTGTAATACAGGCCCCATCAAGCAGGGATGCACAGTTGGTCCGAGGGGACACAGAATGTGTCAGAATTCTGAAGGATAAATCAACCTGATCCTATTAAATTCTGAAAACAATTAAAGGAAAACTTTTTTTTTGCTATTAAAAGATGGAAGATTTGCCAATGAACAGGAGCAGATTTAAGCATTATTTCTTTGATTATATGATTATATGTAGTAGCCACCATTGTTGGATGTGTACATTATGTCGGCTTCACAGGATTTGGGTTGTGGGGCAAAACCAGGTCATTTCTCCAGAAACACAATGCATAAAACCAGAATAGCTGAACTATCTCACAAAATAAATAGGAGTATGTATGTGTTGGCTTTTATTCATTTCGTATATAACTACTCGGACTTTCATGCTTGAGTTTTCACTGTGTACACTTCAGTTACTCACTGTTTACTCACTTTCCTTGTTTTTGTGGATAGCTTAAATAGCAACAGGAGAGGGAACATGTGAGATGGACTGTAAATCCCCTAAAACCACCTACAACACCTCTATGGAGGAGCACCAGAGTCATGTCTTCCTTGGACACATCATAGGGAAAGCCAAATAATAGCGTGCCACTGATAGCAAGGGCATCATTTAAAACCAAGCAAGCAAACTGATCTTTTTTTTCCTCTAATCTCCAAAGAATTTATTGGCCTCTGGCTGTTCTGCATCTGGATGGTTGTGAGTTGTAAGATTTTGGTGTGGCAGTCTCCAATGGTTGCTATTGGTGAAGTCTATCCCTGACAATTAAATTCCATCCTGATGATTCTGCTATAACAAGACATGTTTTTGTTTCACTGCAGTCCTGTCAGTGGCAAATCTTAGACTTCACTAAAATAAAAACATCACCAACCACATGGCATTTCTCTTGTGGTGTTGTTTATTTAGCAAGATAATTTCTCTTTTCCTTATCTTTTACAAGTGAGTGTCTTTGTTTTACCTGCAAAGAATGTAAGAGCACTTGCAGAATGAATCATGTCTATTTTGTTTCCTTACTCAAAATTATAACTGCTATAGTTGTCATTATCAGTTTAATTTAAAATAATAATAAAAACAGCATAAGAATTATTTTGATCACTGACTTTTCAGTTGCCATTGCCCTTTGAATGACTTTACGTAATAAGCAAACAAAACATTCACTGAAGTCCTCCCTGCTTACTGAGTTTTGCAGTCTTAAAGTTGGTTTGAAATCATTTGGAGCTATATATATGTGTGCATATATATATACACATACATATACGTAATGAAGGATCAAAGAGTAAGGAGAAGCTCAAGAGGCTCTTTACAAATATTGGCACCAGCCAACTGCACATTTGTGATTTGGGCATGCAACGACACGATCCCCAATTGCTCAGGCTTCTCATACACACTCACGCACTGCGTCTCTTCCTGTTTAAAAACACCGAGGCATTTATGTGGCTGTGTGGTTTTAGGGCCTCTTGGCTGCATCTCAACACCTGCTAGAAGGGAAGTGTTCCCTGCTGAGTGCTGAGCACTTTCCAGCTCAGAATTCCAACGTTTGCAGCAGCCACATCTGCCTCCATCACCCCTTTAACACCCAGAGCACTGGGCAACGTTTGGTTGATGTTTGATTAAAGACACGTTTCACTCTGTTATGAATCAGAATGTGTTTATTCAGGAAAACACTGCCTCCCCACCCCCACCTCAATATTTAAACCGGAATAATTAACAAAATATTTTTTATTTGACACAGTACAATTACTCTGACATGTGTCTATTGCTAAAGCCCCCGATGCACTGTCTCACAACACAGGCTTATATATGAAAAAATACCCTTTACATATAAAGGTTCTGATATTCTGCACACAATCTGCTTGCCAAAGGCAGAAGTTCTGCTCTTCTACCACTGTCAAGCTTGAGGAACTCAGCTGAAGCCCCTGGAATTACATTCATATAAAGTATAAACAAATCACATGTTCTCATTTTTAAGCATGAAACTTATTCTTCCTCTTAAGCATAAGCTTTAGAAATACTTCTTTTCAGACAGTTGCTTATGTCAAAGCTCACTCACTTCCTTGGAGTCGGAGCATCAGTAGAGCTCACTGGCTCCTCAAACTGGGTTTTATACAGATTCTTCACATTTCTGTGGTTTCTTTTCTTTTCTTCTCCTTTATATTTCTTTTTCTCCGTTCGTTTTTTTTATAAGAATGACAAATAGAAGCAAATAAGAAGAAGCAGAATAAAACGAACAAACAACAACAACAACAACAACAAAAACAGGGAACTATTTAATAAAAATTTCCTTGTGAAGTCTTAGTACTGAATTGGTGCTTAATTACAAGATGTTGCTCTCCCCCTATCAGTTCTGCATGAGTCCAAGCAATTTGCAGTGCTGGGAATGAAACGACCCAAGTGGGAAAGTCTTCCTTGCATGCATACATCCAACAGCTTTCCCAGTTGACATTGGTGTTTGTACAGCTGTCCTCTGCTGGAGAGCCATGGGCTTTCCAGGAGTCTCACAGCCTCACTGCACTCCATAGGAAGCTGTAGAAAGTGCCCATAAGTGATCAGGCCACAGATTAAACAATCCTTGAATTCTGTTGTCTCGACTGGAGCTGATGAGTGCCAGGGCTTAGTGGACTCAGTGAAGACTCAGTCACCAGCTGACAGTGTTTAATATAGGCAGCTAATTTGGGTGCTGTGACTCACCTCCCGAAAGTTCTTGCTTCAAGCCAGCTGTATAGGGAAATGGTAATCCTAAATTTAGATGCAGTGGATGTAGTTGAAGGGAAATGGTGTGCTAATTCCTGCAGGATATGGCATCTCAGGAAAACATGATGAATTTACTCATGGCGTACATCATCCTCATCTTGCAACAGAGGAGGGTAGCAGCTGCCTGTGAGCAGCCCTTGCAGCCTAGAGGCAATGCTGAGAGCAGAAGGGATGAAGGCTCTCTGCCCCCATTGCAGGAATTGTGTGTCAGGAGCTCTGGGCTTTCACTCTCCTTGAAGCCATTTGAACTTCTTGAACCATTTGAAAGTATGCTGTGCCATTCTGGTTCGTCTCTATTCTCACCCACCCCAAACCTCCAAGCTCCCCGAATCCGTTTTGAAAACGGTCACTGGGGATTTTTAAACATGAGCTCATCTGGGTGGGGGCACTGCTTCAGAACAGACTCAGCCAAAACACTTTTCCAAGACTCTGCTTCCTCACAGTTTATCATGTTTTGTTCTAGTAGTCCCACAGTCACCATGAAAAGGGATTTTGAGGCCACGGCGTGTGACCTATGCTGTCACAAGGGTTGCTTGTCAGAATTTGCTCTCTACAGCTGTTCCTCGTACAGAAGCTGCCTTTGCTTTGAGGCTTTCCCTTGCTCCTCACACCCAACGTGCACTGCATCACTTCCACTTTTAGGAGATGCATCAGCCAGGAGTCCCCAAAAGTTAGCGAGGCTCCTCACTAACTTTGCTTTTTAATTGGTTGTTTATGCCAATTAGCCCCTTTCTCCCCTTAATAGATAGGGTGCTTGAAAATAAATTGCTTCTAATATTGAACTACAAAGACTAACATTCTGAAAAAGAGCAGATAAGTTTAAGAGCAATGGCTGAGGCTCCTCAAGAATGCTGTTTGCTCTCCAAAGGAATCTGTGTGTGTGAGAGGAGCACAGAACCAGGTGGGCGCATGGCTGAAGGTCAGTGGTGTGGATCCAGGTGGGATCTTTAGAAGAGGAGTGCTCACTCTGGGGTAGAACACAGCCCCTGGGTTGGCTTATAGCACAGCGATGGATTCTTCCCTCAGTGACTGCAATTTCCTCCATCTGAGAAATGTGGAAGAACATAAAATGAAATGAAACCATCAGCCAAGCAAATGCAAATCTCCGTGTCCTCTGTAAGCATTCATGCAGCCTGACAAACGCATGCGTGTCAGATAACCTCAAACGAATGAGGTCAGATGACCTCATTTTCAGATATGAGCTCTGATAAGTTTGAGTTCAGGACAATTCCACAGGGGGTGATGCTGAGCCTTCTGAAGTGCAGTCCATCCTGGACTCAAAGCCTGGCAGCTTCAGGGAAGTTCAGTTCCAACTCTACACTCTCTGGTATCAAACATGATTTGACTTTGATTTGCTGCCCCTGGGTGAGCTTGGATGGAAGTGAATTGCACTGGCTTGACTTCTGTTTAAGTTTCCTACTAAAATTTCTTACGGTACTTAACAACAGCCAGAATTAAGCCAGTAATACAGTTTAACACAGTTTAAGAGTGTGATCCCTTCTGAGAAGGGTGAGATGCTGCTGCATCCTCCCTGGTCCACTTAGCAATGAAGCACACACACACAGCTGCACATTTGCCACAACTGAAAACTGGGGAAGGAATTTTCAGGTTTTATCCGTCACTGTCCACTCCTTGGAGCTTCCAGGGCTCAGGGAAGGGCAGGTTGGGGTGAGCAGAGCCAGTGGGAAGCTGAGACCATGGGACCGGGTTCTTTCCCAAAGCGTTGCCATGGATTCTGCTGAAGAGTCGTGGCATTGTGCAAAGAATCAGCCTGGATTTACTTTTTTAGCAGAGAGTTGTTGTCAAAAATAAACTGGCCCAAAGAACTGGGAAATCAGAGAAGGAAACATGAGGAAAGAGTGAAGTGACTTGGAGAATGCCAGAAAGCAAGGAGGCTGCTGCTTGGCTCAGGGCCTCGCTTCAGTGAGAGCTATCTAACAGTTTTACAACCAATGGCAAAATCACTCTATTAATGAGCCCTCTTTATGGCTCTAATTTATTCTTAGTTCTCAGAGGCAATGGAGTAGAGGCCAAATAGTTTTATCCCTCAGTATTAAAAAGCCACGAGCTGAGAGGCTTAGTGCTGCTTTGTCAGGATTTTCTCCATCTGGCAAAATAATAGAATAAAATGATCCTACGAAGAGAGCTCCTTTAGCTTTTTAAAGAATGGGCTTTCTCTTTCAATTCAAAGCACTTAGGAAAAGGTGGGAGTGCAGGGAGTAAACACATATTTTCACTCATTAGTTGCCTTCTCAATATTCAGGAGCTATAGCTCCTCACTGCCAGTCTTGCTGACACTTCTCTGGACATTGGTGGTACTCATCAAGGCTGTGGCAGATAGAAGTTAAAAGCCCTGTTCCAAGATGGGAAAGATTGATGGGGTCCAGAGGGGTGAGGTGACGGCAATGGAGGTGACAATGACATGAACATATCATGGGGATTCTTTTAAGTTTCTTTAATGTGGAAAGGAAAAAAGAAAACACAAATTTCGTTTTCTTTTTTTTTTTTTTTTTTTTTCCTTTGGTCATTAATAGCAGAAGGAATTTTTGTTTTCGTCAGTGTTTATCAAAACAGAAAGTAGATATCCATAGCAGTGAGTCAGCCTGACTATTTCTGACCCTTTGAAAGGTTTGTCGCGTTTTGAAATCACCTGGTTAATGGATTGAACCCTCAAGAATGTAGCAGGAAATATCACAAGTAAAAAATTACTTCCATGAGAAGCATTTTGAGTATGCTCACACAAACTGATCATCAGATAAGCCCGAACAATGAAAGACTTCCGGGGTTTTGGAAGCCAGAAACTGATTTCTAAGCTAAATCCATGATGAAAGTTTAGGTGTAAACAGTTCACCCAGTCTTAGTCATGTGAAAAGAAGGATAAACAGACCAAAGGGAAAAAGCTGAATGCCAACAACAACTGGCCACGGTAGAACCCCGGAGATGAAGGGAGAAAAGGAAAGCCTGAATCCTTGGCAACTTTTTCCTACATTCTCTCATGGTGAAAATCAGATTTAAAATAAAAGCCTGTGTTACTGAAATTCACGGAGTACGAGGACCTGAGGTTGCTTGCATCATTCATTACCTCATAACTCAAAGAATATGAAATGAAATCTGGACTGTCCGAATGCCACAGCTTGTAGCTGATGGCCAGCTATGAAATCATCCTTGGGAAAGTTGGGACCTCAGATCTAAATCTTGGATTTTCCAACAGTTCAGATGTTGGGATGTGTTTACACAGCACTGTGCTGTCGTGTCACCCAGGGAACTGCCAAACAGGCAGGGCACAATTTGGGGGAAAAGCATCGTAACAAACTCCTTTGTCACGTGGCAAAGAAGATCATCTTTTAATATTAATTACGGAAAGGCCTAGAAGTTCCAGGTGAGAACAGAGGCTGAACATGGTGCATATACAAAGGCTCTGCCCCGAAGAGCTTAATTTTAAATAGAGAAGATGGATAAATAGTGAAAAGGAAAACACTTGGAACTAAACTGCATAAAGTTTGTAGCAGAATGCAGCACAGAAACGTTTGGTGAGTCCCCAGTCTCCTACACTCTGTCCCAGAGTTTTAGCTACCAGCCTGGGAGTCAGCAATTTCCTCTTTCCTTAGCATGATCTATCCATAAACTCACTCCAGAGTTGTGGTTGCATGCTCCAGTTGAAAAGAAAGCCTTAATTACAAGCGTTGGTTGTTAGGTTTTTTTGGAACGACCGTGTCAAAATACTGTTCCACAAAATTCAGATCAAAAGGATTTCCCCATCTCCTGAGCACAGGCAATCTGTCAGCAGTGCGTTAGCCAAGAAGTCTTGATAATGTGTGCTCTTCCCATAATCTGGTTGCATTTCGGGCTGTGTTTGCACTGCATTGCTTGGAGAACCCGCTGCCACATCTGTGCTGCTGGATCTGCTGTCCAACAGCAACCCTACCATGACCAAACCAGAGCAACCTGACGTCTGCCAGCTGTGGGTATTGCAGTGTTTTAAGATTTCGTTCTGGGGCACAAAGTTCCTCATTTACCCTAACGATGAGGTAAGATAGGAAACATAAAACAAGGTGTAGCCTAGTAAAAGCAGGCTGCTGTCATCAGAGGAAGACAGAGAAAGTCTGTGCAGCAGTGGGGAGCCAGAAAGCTCCTCAGATCTCATCGCTGTACCTCAAGACCCCGAGCACGTTATCGTTGGGAAGGTGAATTTCATTCAGGAATTTAGGATGGCTGAGTGTTACTGATATCCGGTCCTCCACGTTCAAGTACGTCAAATGGAGCTGGAACAAGGTCTTAAAATTCTTTTCTTGGCACGAGTCTGATGCACACCACGTGGATAAGGTCTGCCTGTTGACTTCGTCGTTGATGAGGAGCTCTATCTTGAGGTCTGTGGGGCTGTGGGAACAGTTGGCAAAGTGGAGGTTGAGGTGGCAGTAGATCAGGTAGAGGCCCTTTTCACGGATCACCAGCTCCTCGCTCTTGCACTGGATGTTGTCACATATACTCTGCCCAGTCAAGCTCAGCTTCGAGCTGTTGACTGAATTTGACACTAGAAAGAAAAGCAAGGACATTGTAAAGCGAGCCGATGAATCCTGGTGGCCTAAATTCAGTTTTATGGATGTGCAGTGTGGTAAATGGAGACACACGCTCTGCGGTTTTCCCAATGGAAACTCTTGGAGAGGGCCCCAGTGGGTGGCTGAGCACTCATGGGTGGATTGGGGTGCTGAAAGGTCCCAGGGATTGTGCAGCCCCTTGGGAAACCCGAGACAGGGAGGTGCAGTGGGAAATGGCCTTCTGCGGTATTTAGGGGGAATAATGGAGACACGTTTGTGTGGGGAAGGTATCTAATTATTTACTGTCTCTTTTGAAGTCAAAGAAAACGTTCATGTGATTGGATAGAGCTCCCACTGACCTCTCATGTACGCAGCAGCTCCCTTGGCCGGGACATTCTGTAGGATTCTTAAATAGTCTTCGGAATTGTTCCCTGAAGGAAACAACACAGTAAGTGAGCACGCCTGATTTCTTTGTGCTGTCAAAAAGTCAAAGTCTGGCACCACACTCAGTACCACCAGGTTGGGTAAACACCAAGTGATGGGGTGGGATGGGATGGGATGGGATGGGATGGAAGGGGAGGGGAGGGGAGGGGAGGGGAGGGTATAGGAATACATGCAATGGAATCCTTTAGGAGCTCTTCCTTGTGCTCCCTGACAGCTTGCTTGTGCTGTGCCCACTTATCTCAGCTCCCTGGGATGATGGATGAGCTGAGCAGCCAAACTCAGCTTCGATGCAGAGGATGCTCCTCTGTGCTATCACCAGAGCTGTGTTTATTTCCACCTAGGCTGGTGATGTGAGACTGTTCTATTCTACCGGGCACTGACTGGCGTGGGAATATCACTTTTCACCCATCCTCTTGGGTTTGGACCCGGATGATCTTTAAGGTCCCCTCCAATCTAAGCCATTCTATGATTCCTCACAACTGCACAGTGGAAGATCCAAAGCAACAAGCAGCAACCCACACAGCCCTGAGAGCCGTTTCCTTCTGCTTGGTGCGTAATACCTGACCTGCACGCTGATTCCATAGCACCGTAATGCTCTCGGTTCAGTAAAACTTGCATCTTAAAATGGCCCATAGGGTGCTCCACCCCCTCCGTTATAATGTGGGTTCCAGCAGGATTCCGGTGCAACCTTTGAATCTGAGCGCTGCCCCCAGCCAGCTCGGCCCCGCTGCTCGGCTCACGGCAGGAGGAGCTGCGGGGCGGTACCGGGGCAGGGCGGACCGGGGCAGGGCGGTACCAGGGCGGTACCGGGGCGGTACCGGGGCTGCCCCATCGCACAGAGCCCGAGAGCGGCGGCCGCGCGGTGACGGCTCCCTCCCACGGCCGCGCCCGGCTCTGCATCCCGGCTCCGCATCTCCATTCCTCATCCCCTCCCCGCATCCCGGCTTTGCATCCCTGACCCTGCACTCCTCCACTTCCTTCCCCGTTTCACCTCTCTTCCAGCCGCACAGAATCAGAATCGTCTGAGTTGCAAGGGGCCTTAAAGGCCATCTGGTCCGAATGCCTGCAGTGCACAGGGACACCCACAGCTCCAGCAGTGCTCAGAGCCCTGAACAACCTAATCTTGGCTGTCTGCAGGGATGGGGCATCACCGCCTCTCCGTGCAACCTGTGCAGTGCCTCATGTGCCCATCTGCTTTTCCTAAGCCTTTCCTCCTTTTATCATACGAAATTCACTGAAAGGCACTAATTATTCCCCCTTTATTATCTGTTTGTGTGCAGTCCTGCACAGCCTATGTGCATAAGGACACAGGGACAAGTTGTACATTCAGGACAACAGAGAGCATCTCCCTCAGTGCAGCCATGCAGGTGGTTGGTTATTTCTCATTGCATTGATCTCTCCCTCTTTACATCTCCTGGCTCTCCTGTAGCCGGGGAAGGGATGTCATGGCAGTTCAGATGGGGAACTGGGAAGGAATGAAGCATGAAGGAATTTCAGCAGCATCCTGCCAAATTATAAGCTCCTATTTCAGGGTACACAAATCGTTTTCCTGACACACAGCTGGTAATGAGTCCCCCAACCTCCAGGGGCTCCTGAAGGAGCAATTAACACACAGAACTGAACTCTACTAATCGTGATGCTGTGGCATGGCACGGGGTGACATATTTCTTGTTCCTCACATATGGCATAGCGGGACTCGACTAAATCCAAAGTGAGCAGAGACTCTTAATGTTCATTCCTGAAACTAAAGGTACAAGAAAGAACTTCAGACCCTTACAATGTCAGCTTGGCCTGATTTTAAGAGGCGTTTGGTCAGGAGGATAGAGAAATCGGGGAGAAGCAGGTCCCACAAAGTCCCACTGGTTGGTATTTTGAAACAGTGCACCCTTTGCACTCATTCTGTTGGAAAAGCAGTCTGTGCATGTCTTGAAAGAATAGTAACTTTCCTCTGCTTCCATTAGCTGCAGCAGTTTTAGGGGAGCAGGTGCTCCCTGCCCTCCAACAGTGAGTAAGTCGTGTCTCAAACTCCCTTAGCTGTGCTGGAAATCCCCAGAGAAAAACCAAAGCCGACTTTCCTGATGACAGTCATATCAATATAGTGTGTTAGTGTACAGAGATGTGGAGCAGGATAGAAAAAAAGCTCTTCTGCTCCTTATTTCAGGCAACAAGAGCAGCAACGGTAACAAGAGCCACTGGAAATGCACAGCCAGGGCCCTGAGCCCACTTGCATTACTGATATCCTTCATACAAAGACAATATTTACACAGAAAAGTGGTGCCATGTGGGGGCTTTACTCTGTAAATCAGAGAACCCCCTGCTGCTCAAGCAGACCATGCTGCAGCCTTGCAGCTTCTGCCAGGTGAAAACAGCACTGTGCCCACACACACAGCTGGTGCTGCATGGAACCCCTCCAGCCCTGAGCTGCTGCAAGGTTTGCACTGCATCTCTTCAGAACAACCGTCACTGATGTGGCTGCACTTCACACTTTCAAAGCTGCACTTACGTTCATTGATGTCAGCAAGTTTGATATGTGTGTGTTCAAAGCCTTTATTTGGTGACATCAGCTGTGTTTCTGAGAAGGCAAGTTATGGAAAAAAAAAAGGTATAGAGACATTTCCTGTCCTCGCTCTGCTGAGGCTGCTTATAACCATTTTCTAGTTTTATTTCTCAAGTTACTCCTTTTATCCGAATCATTTCAGCACAAGCCAGCAGAGACTGAAATTGCCAGAGCTGCAGGACTGATCGATGGATGTGTTCAATCACATCGCCTAATTGGCTCTGCACTGGTAGGGGTGTAAATCAGAAGTGATCCCACTGAAGTCAATAGGATTATATCTGCTTATAAATGAGGTCAGAAGGGGGAAAAGCAAAGCCTCAGCGGGGTCTAAGCACCAAAAAGCCCCACTGGTTGCACATCCACCATCAGACTGCATGAAGGAAACCTGCTGATAAAGAAGCAGCCTTAAAGGAAGCTATCTAGGCTATTTTATCCTAAAGAAACTATTAGGAGATAATTCACTTTTGCCTTCCTGACGCCTTTTACCATAGGCTGAGCATCCACAGTGGGTGTGGATGCCCACTGGAAAAGGGGCAGGCTAGTGTGCCCATAACACAGCTCTTCTCCACCATGCCATGGGGTTTGATAGTGCTGCTGCCCCACTGACAGCTCCACAGTTTCCACCCACAGTGCAAAATGCTTGTGTTGAAGCAGCAGGCTGTGTCTGCTGGCCAGGAGGAACCTGAATGCTCCAGGACAGGGCTGGACCTGCTGCCAGACAGGTCCAAGAAGAAGAGGATCCAACTGGGTATCCTCCTCACTGCTTGCTGACTCAATTTCCCCACTTGTGAGATGGATATAGATTCAGGGCAGTGAAATCAAGAGCTGGAAATGGCATGAAAGAGCAAATCAGAGCCTGCTAACCCAGCAGCAAAAGCCCCACAGATGGTGTTTTTGAGGTTCCTCCTCATCTCCAAAAACAGAAACGTCAGAAACATCTCTTTCCTAATTTCATGAGCTCTTCATTTATGTATATATATATATATTCACCTAGTACCTGACCAATCTGTTGGCCCTCTATGATAGAGTGATGGCATCATTAGACAAAGGAAGATGAACTGATGTCATCTACCTGGATTTCTGCAAGACCTTTGATATGGTCCCACATCACATTCTTATCTCTAAATTGGAGAGGTATAGATTTGAAGGCTGATCTGTTCAGTGGATAAAGAATTGGTTGGATGGTCATAGCCAGAGGGCTGTGGGCAATGGCTCTGTGCCCAGGTGTCCCCCAGGGTTCCATCTTGGAACCATTGCTCTTCAATGTCTTTATCAGTGACATAGACAGTGGGATCAAGCACACCCTCAGTGAGTTTGCTGATGACACCAAGCTGAGTGGTGCAGTTGGTGTAATAGAAGGAAGGGATGCCATCCAGAAGGACCTAGACAGCTTGAAAAGTGGGCCCACGTGGCCCTAATGATGTTCAACATGGCCAAGTGCAAGGTGCTGTGCTTGGGTCGGGGCTCAGTACTTTTTAGCAACACTGATCAGCTCATTACTAATTAAACAAGCCCTCATTTTGACTAAGCAGCACCAGTCTAGGTGTAGTTTCCCCTGATGTTTGCTCAGGAGGATGCTTGTACACTCTGTCTGGCATTTACAAGCCAAAGACTTGCCAAACTTTGTTAAAATGAGAAACACAGCTTAAGAGCCCTGATCTTTCTGACGCCAGACAGACCCGTACAGACTTCACAACACACACATCCTGAAGCTGATAAAGCTAAAACCTGCATGCTCTAAATGTGAGGTGCCCATTTCTGGAGAGCCCACTGCCCTGGGATCAGAAACACCCCGTGATTTCAGTGGTTTGCATTAGACAATTCCAGGATGGAAGAGAATATTTTCAGAGCTTGAAAGTCAGTCCAGAACCATGGGGATGTGGCACTGGGGGCCATGGTCAGTGGGCATGGTGGAGGATGGGCTGGGGTTGGACTTGGTGATCTGAGAGGTCTTTTCCAACCTTAATGACTCTATGATTTCACATTTTTCTTTGTATTTTCCTCCATAAAATTAATCTATCAATAATTTCCTTCTGGCACATATTAATATGTGATTCCGTATTTATGAAATGTAGATGAGTTTCCAAAGAGAAATATTTCCACAGAAAGAATAAGTCACAAACATTTACTTTGTGACAGCTTTAATTCCTTTCCCCTGTTGCTCAGGTACTCCACCAACAATGACACAGGTTTGCAGGAAGTTGCTATCATTTCTTCACACCAACACCTAATTAGCTGATGTTGCATCTCAGCTACTGCTTGCAGATTGCTGCAAACCCATCCATCGAGGGCTGACAGCTGAGTCAGGAACACAGACCTTCTGTAAGTCAGCCTGAGTGCCCACCGGTGTATAGCTAAGAATAGAGTGTGTTCTCATTGGAAATCTGAATGCAGTCAGAGTGTTTTTCCTGTTTTAGGATTACAGAATTAATGTGGGAAGAGGCTATGCCTGGTTGTCTGGAGCATTGTCCCTTTGCGTGGCAATGCAGTCATAGAATCATAGGCCTGGGTTGCAAAGGACCACAATGCTCATCCAGTTCCAACCCCCTGCTGTGTGCAGGGTAACCAACCAGCAGCCCAGGCTGCCCAGAGCCACATCCAGCCTGGCCTTGAATGCCTGCAGGGATGGGGCATCCACAGCCTCCTTGGGCAACCTGTTCCAGTGCCTCACCACCCTCTGGGTGAAAAACTTCCTCCTAATATCTAACCTAAACCTCCCCTGTCTCACTTTAAAACCATTCCCCTTGTCTGCCTTCAGTCCCCCTTCAGTCTGCCAGCATGGGAGCATCGTCCACCATCAGCACGCTGGATGATCCTGCATCCCCATGAGCATCTCTGAGATGCTGTGCACAAACAGACACCCTCACCTTGCCCATCAGACGGCTTGGAACAAGGCTCAGCACCCAACCTTGGCCACTTTTCGACACAGGGCTTCAAGTCCTGTTGTGAACCAAATTACACTGTCAACACTGGGGCTGCTCAAGGCGCAGAGGTAGCAGCAAACAAATCCCCAGCACAGTCCCTGTCCTGCAGTGTGGAGTCCCAGTTCTTTGCTCTGCAGCTGCTGGATGGGGACTCACAGTTCCTGCTTAGGAGTCAGCAAACGCTGCCTGGCAGAGCTCCCTGCTGTAAATCACCCGCTGGGATCTATTAATCAATTAGCTCTGCTTTATGCATTTTAAGAGAAAAATAAAAGACCATTGTAATTTGCTCACACTTTAACGCTCCGTTACCCTGCCAGAGCTGTGCAACAGAACCTGATGGGCTGATAGAGCACCTGCACCCATTGCAGACAGCTTCCAGCAGCCCTTCCTGCCCTGTGGCACTTTTTTGTCATCCCCTCCTTTGTCTTTATGCTAATCTCAGATTCGGCAGCAGAATTCAGAGCGACAGGGAGCCTGCCATTGATATTAACCCAAAGGCCAAATGGTTTCTGCCTAATGAAACAACACCTTGTAAATTCCTGGAGAGAACAGGCACCTGCTGCCTTGATGGGGAGAAGGAGCAGTTGGTGTAGACCGTGAGATTTGCAAATATATATATATGTATTTACATACTGAGATGCTTTTCTGGACTAGTGAGACTTCTCCTTTCTACTCTGGGAATGCCAGTGTCACTTGAGCTTTGCTTCACATTAACACCAACCTAGGAGATGGCCCCTGTCCCTCCTCTGCCAGTCCCTGACCACCACTCCATAGCTTTCACTGCTTCTTTCCAGCTGGTGGTGGGATACTGCCTTGAGAGCAGCACTTTGTGGGCACCCTAATGGGAAAAGAAAACCCCTCCGGTTCAACTGGTCTTTTAATACACAACAGATGATGGTGAGGCTGCTGAGAAGTTCTCTGAAAGGGCAGTGTGATGTGCAGGGACAGTTTTGTGTGGTATGAGGAAAGCCCAATGCAGAAGAGCCCTGGATTTAAAACTTCTCCCAGTTTGAGTGTGCGTTGCCTAAATTCAGCATTATGTCACCTGTGTGCAAAAATGGAGGTGGAGAAAAAGATGGTTATGTGACAAGGGCTTTCTAGGCCTTGAATTTCAGTTTCCTGTGCTTCAGCTTTCCCATCTGTAGAGTGGGAGGTGATGCTGTCTCCTATCCTCCAGCACCAACTAGGAATCATCTTAGCAATAACTCAGAATGCTGAGTGCCAAGGGCTGTGGAACCAAGAAGGAAATGGCAATGAAACAAATAGAGCTGCTCTGATTTACATTGGGGAAAAAGCAGAATCTGGGCAGGCTGTCTCTGTTGTCTAGTTAGAAAGCTTTCTCCTATTTTGGGCTCCCCATGTCCATGCTCTGCCTGTTTAAATTCCTGCTCCTTGCCTCTTGCTGCATTTCTGCACTTTTCTCTATTAGATCTACCCCTGCCCTCTTTCCTTTTCCCCACAAATGGGTAAGAAATACGTAACTGTCTCTGCGGGAGACAGACCAGAGGAGTTCAAGAGAAGGTCTTGTTGTTTTGAAGTATGTCCTTGTACAGATGGGGACATCACACCCACATGTGTAAGAGCCAGCAAAGACACCTGACGGCAGATTCAGAAATGGTTGTGCCTTCCTCAGCCATGCCCTGCCTTCCTGAGCTACTGAGTAATTCAAAATCTTGTTTTCTTTTTTCCTTTCTTTTTCCAGTGCCTTGGCTTTCCACCAAGAAATGCCTTTATGTGTAATGGGCACAATTGCCTTGCTCATGATCCTGGGCAATATCTACATTACAGATGGAATGAATTGCACAGACTGTCAGGTTAGGTTTCTTACCTTTGCGGATCCGTTCTGTGCTGCCCTCCATGGCAGGATCAGCTGCCTGAAAGAGATGTGGGAGAGGGGGTGGTTATTCTGGGAGCAGAACACTTCTGTGTTCAAGCAGATCACTGCTTTACTGTTGGATCTGCAAGTTGCCATCGCATCTCTGGAAGGCAACGCAGAGCTAGCAGCAGGTGTTACAGAGCACATGGATCCAATGGAGCATCACAAGGCAGGGACTGCTGAGGAGCCCAGCCCTCCAGCAAGCTCTCTGTGCTTGGCCAAATTAGAATCACAGAATCATTAAGGTTGGAAAAAACCTCTAGGATCAAGTCCAACCATCAACCCATCCCACCATGCCCACTGACCGTGTCCCTCAGTGCCACATCTCCACGGTTCTTGAAAAACTCCTTCCTCACTCATTCTTTGTCACAGTCTATAGAAACCTGTTTTTCTGATGTAGTAATACTCTGATGTGTGGCTTTTGTTTGTGTTCTTTTGCAAGCAGAAGTGCTGAAAGCTCCAATGTGGCTTTCAAACCTTGGAGATGGTCAGAGTGGGACTGGACAACCATCAGAGCCAGTGGGATTCATCTGTGGTCCTGCTTCTGTTTCTAAAGTCTGGCAGAAATGAGGCAGACTGCATACATGGGAGACAGCTTCATCCATGGTGGGCTGGAGATCTCAAGGGGCTTAAAACATGAGTACTTTATTTCTGAGTGTAAGTATAACGTCTGGTCTGAGAAGAAAGAAGATATTTGAACAGCGAGATAAGCCATGTTGTGACCATTTCTGATACTTAATCTTATGGCCTTAGATGTTGAAGAATACATTTAATCAGACTTCAACCTAACCATGGTTGAAGTGCAGAGCCATGTCTGCTCCAGGCAAAGCAATGTTATCATTTGGTCTAACAGCAAAACACTGTGTACCACAGATACAGATTGTGTAGCTGCTTCGTGATTGGGGCATCTCATGTTTGTTTGTTTTCTCTTCTCACACTTACATAAGACCAGGGAACAGTTATCTGTTGCTGAGCCAGAGACTTTTTCCAGGTGATCTTCCCAAGGAATGCAGGAAGGCTGCTGGGTTAGGAGCTGAACGGGAACCTAGGTCTGTAGTCTGGCAAATTTGGCATTTACAGACCTCTTGGTCCTCTGTACAGCATCCTCCCTCCAAAAATCTCCTGGTTCCTCTACGCATGTCTCATCAGATGTTGGGCTGAGAGCAGTTCTGACTGACAGTATTGCACAGGAGAACCTGCTGGATCCTCTCTGCTCATGTCCTGGACTGGTATAGGGCTGTCTCTGTCACACACACTCAAGAAGTGGGGAAATGTTACTTTCCAATGCAATCTACGAGCATTTCTGTACTCTGCAAGGAATTAAAGGCCTTTACACGTGGGACAGAGAGATGCTGTATCCCCAGCTAGAATATGCTGAATGATATCAGGCAGCAAATCCACTGCTGCCTGCCAAGTGCTCGGTATGGTGATGGAGACGCTGTCATCAGGAGGCATTGGCCTAACAGCCCTTCCTCAGAGACATGCAGGATGGGGCTGGTGGCTCACAGCTTGCTTTGTAGCCAGGGCAACAGGAGAAAAATGAAAATGAACTGACGTATCGTATCCTCACCTGGGAAGCAGATACCAATGCAGTTCATTTTAGTGGCAATTGACGAGGCATTCAAATAAAGCTTTAGAGTTTTCTCTGAAATACCACTTAGCACTGCTGTTTGCTAACAGCATATTGCTGTAATGGTGTAATGTGGAATGTAAAGATATGCAGTTGGAGCTCAAGGAAGTTACATTTTATAACCCCAGCTCAGGAACAATTCAGTACAATAAAATCACCCTGCCTGGGTGTTGATGATGAAGGATTTTGGTCTTCACTTGGCAACAGAAAGAAAAAATAATAACCAAGTGCAAAGGAAAGTCATTTCTTTCTTCCTTCCCTTTATATTTACAAGTAGTTTTCCCAAGCTGAGACACCCTGGTGCTGTTATAGAATCACAAAATACCCCCAGCTCAAAGGCACCCACAGGGATCAGAGCCCAACCCAGCCCACAACAAGTGGCAAAACTGCCGTGACGAGCAAGTGCCGGAGTTTTCTCCTTTTTGTTAGGGCTGTCCACCAGAGGGGGCCAGCAGGCTCCGGTGGTTCAGCCCGTGTGGTTGGGAGGTTGAAAATAGGACCGCAAGAAAATGCAGAGCGGTGATGGGCTGTCCCAGATTTTACCCAAAATCCGTTCACAGAGCTGCACCCCATAGGCTGGGTGTCCAATGCAGCATAGCTTGCAGTACAGTGTAAGATCTCATTAAGATTGTGTGCCTAACAATTACTTTCATCCTTACTCTTTCATTGATTTTCACTCTGTGACAGAGATCATATTATGTCCCTATTCTCTCTGCATATATATAGAGAGAGATCTACACAGATGTGTGCATGTGTATATATATGCATATATACACAAGAGCAGTGGGCTGCAGCAGGCAGAAGTGTGTAGGCTTTGGGGCCCTTCTAACAGCGTTAAGAAGGAAAATGCAAGCTAAGGTCTTCTCTGCAGCAACTGTTCTTATTTGAGAGAAAAACAAAAGTCAATTCTGAGAGATGTAGATCAGTGAATGGCCCAAAGCCAGCTGCTTCTGCAGATGAAAGCTGAGAACTGAACTGACTTCAGCTCTGAATGTTGTTCCAAAAAATGTCACTTCCCAGGTCTGACACTGTGCACCAATGCCTTTCTTGAAAACAAAATATCAAAGAGAAAATTTATTGGGGTGCTGGAAATTGCAGGGCAGTGAATAATGTGCGTTGTAATTGATGCTAGATTCAGAGAAACAGCTTTGGAGTAATGGTTGACTTTTGTTGTTGTTGTTCTGGTCTTTCACGTATATTTCTGTTACTCAGAACACCTGGATTTTGGGTGAGGGAAGAGCCTTGTTTGATTTTCCCCTTCTCAATACACCCTCCTTCATCCTGAATTAGGCAAGCATAAATTCATCAAAGAGGGGAAGAAAGATGAGCAGACAGCTTCCATGTCCCTACAATGGGGCTGGGGGGCTGTGTGTTCTGCATGCCACCAGATGCCTCCACTTAATGCAGTGGCAGCCAAGACATGGGTCACCAGGCCAGCACTGTGCCTGTGGTGCACTCATAGAACCCAGCTGACATCTGGAGAGAAAACCAAATCACCCTAAAGGGTTGATCATGTAAAATGTTGATCCTCTCTTGAGAAGATACAAAGGAATGAAGCCAACTGGTGATGGCGTATTCCCTACAGCAACTGGACTCACTGCCCACTGGACTCCCATAACCACACAGCCCCCAGCCCTGGAGCTGCTGGAGTCAATGCTATGGGATGCTCAGCCCAGCCATGGCTGCATTCTGCCCAGCCTTGTCACCAGGAGCCAAATGGTTTTGGAGCAAGCCCTGGTGATTCTTGAGAAGCCTCTCACACAGGATCAGAATCTCACACTGGTCTATCAACTCAAGATGGAGATGGATGGAGAATAACCAGATGATCTTAAAGGTCTTTCCCAGCCTTAATGATCCTATGACAGCTGCTTTTGGACTGAGGGTCTCTTGGTTCCCCAAGAACAAGAACTGAGCTATAGTTTTTGCTGCCCAGTTCCCCTCATGCTGTAAAACTGCAGCTCTGTTTCTCACATTTCTCTCACCCCTCAGCTTCCTGCCTTCTCGTTAAGCCAAGCTGTGTTTCCAAAGCAGCTGCAGTAATGTCATTACTCTTTTAAATGAAAATCTCAACTCTTTCAGTAATATTGTTCCTCTGGCAACTGGTCTAACTGCATTTATCCTGATGGAGAGGTAATTTAATGCTTACTTTCATAATAAGCACAAATGAAAGCCTAATTATATAGGAAAGCTCTGGCAATTCTGTAATTATACAAGCTGCTATTTTAAAGATCTCCCTTAATATCCCAATATTTATCACCTGAAACCCCCCATGTCTCATTCTAACTGTGCACAAACTGCTTCCCTTTTGGATGAGCACTGATTTCAGGTAAATGACTCCTCACTGGTACAACTTAAAGAAGCATCAGTCAAGCTTTAATGGCTTAATTTCTTGGTAATGTGCATACACGGACACAGAAATTGCACAAGATCAATTTAGTAAGAGAAAATATTGTACTGAGAGATCGTATTTTGTTTTCCATGGCCAGTCCCTTCAGCAGCCCCATGCTGGTGCTTTCATTCTTTGAATCTTTGTGGAGATTCTTCAGCACTCAGATTTTATGTGTAAAAGCTATAAAATTTCTAATGTGGCGTTTAAAGTTCTTTCCTGTCTCCAAGGAAGACCCATAAACAAAGGCAGCACACAAACCAGGTATCACACACTGAAGCACTGATGTACCTACACTCCACTTTTCCTATGAACCAGCTAGACAGAAGGTGGATTGACTCTTGCATTATGAGCTTTCCAATTCCATTCCCAGCAAAGACACCACATGCTAGAAATTAACCCATGGAGGAAGGATTTCTTTTTTTGAAAATTCTTTCATCTCCCTCTTTTTTCTGTCTTTCTCTCCCCCTAATTCCTGTGTGCATTCATAACAGGGGCCAGAAACTGACCTTCCAGCCATGGGATAATTTTTGGGATTAGAGTAGAAGTTTATATTTAAAAAATAAATGAATAAGAAAAGAAAAAGATCATGAGTGAAGTGAGAATTGCTTACCGTCCTCCGGATAACTAAGACCATGATGGTGGATAACGCAAAGACGAGTAACACAACAAGGGTAGCGATGATGAAATACAAAAAAGTTTTGTTAGTGGCTCCAAGCCTCCTTGAAACGGTGTCTTCATTCACATGCATGGCTGATTCATAGGAGTCTTTCATCTGAAAAAGTGTTTGCTCTTGTGCCAAGCACCTTCTTATATAGCTCTCAGGGTACTGGTCTGTATCTCCCCTTGATCAGGTTCAGGTCGCAGCCCATCTCTGTTCCTGGCAGGATTTTCCCCTTCATCCTGGCTCATGTGATCTGGAAAAAAAACTTCATCACTTGTGGTACAAAGAATGAGGGAGCTGGGGGCGTGAAGCAGGTCGCAGCTGTGAGGAGGGGAAGGAGCTTCATGTTCGTGATCAGGGATTTCGCGACGGCAGTCTTGTGTGTTGCATCGGAGGTTTCTGATGTCAGAAGGTGAATAGTTACTAAGATCAGTGCCCCCTCCCTGCCACTGGCTTTCCGTGAAAAAGAGAGCTATGCAAATTTTGTTTCATTTTATACTCAGTGCAGCTATAGTTCGGTGCAGTACGTTGCCTGGAGCACTGCCTTCCTGTTGCACAGAGCAACCTCTTGTTCTCCTCCGTACCATCCCAGTACTGTGATCTCCAGGGCTCTGCATTCAGAGATCGTAGAATCATAAAGGTTGGAAAGGCATCTGAGATCAAATCCTATCATCAACACATCCCCACTAAAACATGTCATTCAGTGCCACACCTCTGTGTTTCTTGAATACCTCCAGGAATGGTGACTCCACCACCTCCCTGTGCCAGGGCCTCACCATTCTTTCTGAGAATTTTTCCCTAATATCCAACCTGAACCTCCCATGATGGAACTAACGCCATTCCCTATTGTCCTATTGCTGTTACCTGGTAGATGAGGCTGACCTCACCTTGCTACCACCTCCTTTCAGGCAGTTGTAGAGAGCATCTTGGACTGACCCATCCCAGTTACCATAGCCACTCTCCATCACACTTGTGCTCCAGACCCTTCACAGCTCTGTTGTCCATTTCTGGACACTCTCCATCCAGGACCTCAATGTCTTTCTCACAGTGAGGGGCCCAAAACTGAACGCAGCATTTGAAGTGTGGTATCACCAGTACAGAGGGATGATCCCCTCCCTGTCCTGCTGGTTGCACTATTACTGACACAGGCCAGGATGCCGTTGGCCTTCTTGACCACCTGGGCAGACTGCTGGCTCATGTTCAGCTGGCTGTTGTTGATCAGCAGTCTCAGATCCTTTTCCACCATGCAACTTTTCAGCCACTCTGCCCCAGTCCTGTAGCGATGTGTGGGGTTGTAGTGACCAAAGTGCAGGACCCAGCACTTGGTCTTGTTGAATTCCATCCCATTGGCCTTAACCCATCAATCAGCCTGTCCAGATCCCTTTGTAGGGCCTTCTTACGCTCAGGCAGATCCACACTTCCTCCCAATTTGGTGTTATCTGCAAATTTACTGAGGGTGCACTCAATCGCTCGTTCAGGTCATCAGGAAAGATACTGAACAGGACAGGTCCCAGTACCAACAGTACCCCGTGGAACATCACTCATAACCAGACGCCAGCTGGATGCAACTCCATTCAGCAGAACACTCTGGGTCTGGCCATCCAGCCAGTTTTTTTACCCAGCAAAGAGTGTACCTGTCCAAGCCATGGGCTGCAGCTTCTCTAAAGCCAGACTCAAAGGCTTTACTAAAGTCTGGACAGACTATGTCCACAGCCTTTCCCTCATTCACACAGCAGATCACTCCATCATAAAAGGAGATTGGGTTGGTCAGGCAGGACCTGCCTTTCAGGAGCCCCATGCTGGCTGGGTCTGAACCTCTGCTTGTCCTGCGCATGCTGTGTGACTGCACTCAAAGTGATCTGCTCTATAATCTTCCCTATCAAGGTCAGGCTGGCAGGCCTGCAGTTTCCCAGATCTTATTTCCATCCCCTCTTTAGGTGGGAGTCACACAGGCAAGTCTCCATTCTTTGGTATTTCTCCTGCCTCTGAAGGTCTGCAGGTTTTCACAGAAGTGCATCAGGAAGGTGTCTTTGGTACAGGATGCAATTTTTAGGCAAAAGCAGAGAAAGAAAGAAGTCACAAGAAAGTAGACGAGCACAGTGTCAGGATGTGCCCACAGAGAGTGTCTGTATTCACCTCCATGCCCTGACTTATTTGCAGCTGATGAATCAACCCTGGCTTCCCTCTTGCCCACGATTCTCTCCTCAGTTCTAGACTGGCACTAGCACTTAGCCATGGGGTTTCTCACAGAACCCTAGTGAGATTTCTTTCACTGGAAGTATTTCCACTCCTTATCACTGTGGAATCTCCAGTAATTCCTACCCCTGCACTTTTTATGTGAGGTGAATCCTTGCCCTCAGACTAGCCCAACTCCAGAGACGCTTGGTTGTCTTGATAGTTTTTGCAGTTAAATGCGTGCCTCTTTTGATTCATTTTTATTGAAGCCAGATAACTTGTAACAGAACCAGATGATGAGGGGTGTTTTGTGTCTTAGCTGTTCTCAGTCCACAGATCAGTGACATAAGTTCATGGCCAAACAGGATCTTACCAATGGCCCAACTAACCGAGCAACTTGCCTTCAGTAAGGCACAACCAGAGATGCCTCGTGAAAGATGTCAGAACAGAAAAAACAGGGAAAATTATTTATTGAGTATAATTATCCAGGTTTCTCTGACTTTGGCATATAAGAGTCCCAAACCAGAGGTAGTACTTTTCTATTTAATCCAGTTCTGCTTAACTGCAGTGACTGGCAGCATCTACTATGCTTGAAAAGACCTTAAGCATCTCTTTGCTCATAGCCGAGCAGGTATTTAACTCAGCAAGGAAAATGACTTACAAGAGGATAATGGTGTTGTAATTTTAAGAATGTCACATCACCTTCGGTGTCATGAGGAGAGCACTGTGAGCTTACAGGTTGTTGTGGCTGCAGAGATGTGCATGGTCAGCTCCTTTTACAAGGGCAGAACACTCATGCTAAATCTACATATAAGTAGAAAAGCAGATGTTGCAATGCTGATAACCACAAAAGAAAAATAGATCAATGAAAGACGGGGGGGAAGGAACATGGAAAAAATTAGCCCCTGTGCTAAGAGGTGCAATCCAGATTAAATCTGGCTTGTTAGTTTCTAAAATAAATTCAGTAGGCCCATTAGCACAGCATTTGAAAGCGACAGTTTCTTGAGATCTGTTGAGAAGATCACAAAAAAAAAAAAAAATTAGGAGACACAGAGCATCGACATTGTACAATAGAGGTTACTAAGGCAGGAAAAACCTAAGACTGTCCCAGGTAACTGTCCCAGTGTCCAGCAGGATGAATAGATTAGTTCCATTTTTCACTGAGGAGGGTGAAATACCTTGAAATGCAGAAGGGAAATGGTGCTCAGCTGAGGCAAGCGTGCTGTTAAGGCAGATGGTGATTTTCAAGCAGGACAAGAATGCAGGATGAATGAGAGCTGCTACTCCTGCAGTTCTGTCTTAGGCAGTAAATAACCACCTCACCTCCCTGTCAAGCTGGTGGTGATGTACTTTCAAACATAACTTCAGTACAGTGCTCCATTACCCCTTACATCCAACATCTCTCTACAGAGTTACCACACTACCTGCCTGATCATGCTTCTTTTCCAAAGCTGAGGTCACTGCTTTCATGCCTTCTCACCAGCACTGCATCCATCCTCACAAGCCCTGGTTGAGAGGCCAAACAGCATTGGTTCTTATTATGATGCACCTACTGCATCCTCTGCAGCAAAGAGCTTTGCTTAAAAGGACAGGGAGGGAGAAAACAGATGAACCACAAAACCAGCAGTTCTAATGATTTCTTGGTAGAGTTTTCAAGTAAGTGTCTTTAGCAGAAAAGTACAAAATATCCCATCCCCTTATTAATATTTAGTTATCTCCTCTTCGCTGAAAGGAACCAAACTGCTGAGAACTGAAAGCACATCCATGTGGTCAACGGAAATTCACCTTTGTTTGAAGTCTGTGAGAACTGAAAACCCTTCTGGCAGACATTAAAGGCCAGTTCTTCAGAGACGTGTGGCCCAGCGACACTGAAATCCAGAGGTGTGAAGAGAACAGATGCCTTTGGGAGTTTTTGTTTTTATCCTCAGTGGGAGCAGTGTCTGTTTCTTATCAAACCATCATTCATGTTTACATCCATACAGTTTGCTACCAGCGCCCCGTCCTGAGCTTTGGAAGACCTAAGAGAGCTCAGAGAATGTTCACCACAATGGAATCGTTTAATTACTGTGAATGCTTCCTAGCTGTGCCCCAATTAAGGGTCTCAAGCAGCAAACATGGGGCAGTCGGGCTCCTGCCTTCAAAGAGGCTGAACTGCACCCAAGTGCACATGCGGATGCTTTGTAAATCACTTGCAATGGAAATGCAACCTCAGTAAACTGAGGTTAGTGCAAAACATCATTGGCACTCAGGGTATGAATCATAGGTTTTTGAATTTCCTCCGATGAATCACTCTCCTGTGTTGTGCTTTGCTGTTGTGTTTGTCCCCAGTGCCTCAGCCCAAGCTGCAGGAGATGGGGCAGGGTCCTCCTGCTGAGCAGGAGCCAAAAACTCTGTGGCATTGGATCCCACGGGAGTGGCACACAAGCTTGCAACCATGGATCAAAGGGTCTCGTCCACCTTGCCTTACCTTTACTGATGCGTGATAGGGAACGTTTCCTGTTGGGTGAGATGGTTGTTATGGGATTCCCATGGAAAATCAGCAATTGGCTGTGACACAAATTTCTTTTATATAATATTTATTAGAAGCTGTGCCTATTCATTTCCTCCTGATCCAAGGTAGGTCCCAGCACGAAGTAAATGACACTCCAGCATCACACTCCCAACACTGCTGTGATGATATTGTTGGCAGTTGCTGTAAAGCAATCTTCCGAGGAAGGCTCTGTGTGTCTCTCATCCAGGCTTTCTTCTGCTTTTGCAACACGTTGGAAGGTTTCCAAGAATAGCAGTGTTCTTTTCTCATTTTGCCTCTCCAATAAAATTACTGAATAAAAATAGGCACCAGACAGGAGGAAAATAAGAGAGAAAAAGATAGGTTAGAGCTGCTATTGCACACTATTACCTCCTTGGGAAGCTAAGCAGTGTTTATTCATGCTGTGCAACTGTTTTCCTTGTTGAAAAGAATTATATCACTCAGCCTTGTAAGGCAATAGAAAAAGAGGTAAATTAAATTAGCTGAAAATTGGCTACAGAGGGAAAGACATCTTCTGATACTGGGGGTGATACGTAACATCTATTTGCCTGGAAGTGTAGGTAGAAAGCAGAGGCATTAAGATTGATAATAAAATGCAATAATAAAGCAGTACAAATGGAACAGTTGTAAAAGTGCAATAGCTTCCACAGATTTGTCAGAGTGCATTTGCTCAACTGGAGTCCCAGGAATGCCAGGCAGTACCAGTTCTTCCCATGAAGCTCCCAACCCAAAGAAGGAGCTGCCCAACTTTTCTGGAAAATCTTTG